CTTCGAAGGACTCACGGCAATAGACAAGGTGTGGTTTCTCGCTAGGGTCAGCTGGACAATCACCAGGTCGATTGTTGCGGTACACCTTCCGACCGATCGATAAATGACCCCGATCGGTCGTGTGATTTTCGGGCCGGCATAGACAAAGAATAAGTTCTGAATCCGATGCTGCTTATGTGTTTGTGGAGAATCACCACAGGACGATCTATTGTGGAACGATGCGCCATAGATAAGGTGGGTCATCAAGTCCCCAACCGAAAAGCTCAATGTAACACATCTACCTGAGTCCTCTGACCGTATTTGTGCCTTCATGCTGTCTGGCCATTTGTAACCATCATCGCAATATTGCTTGCCTTGCCAAACACCTTGAGCCAGGAATCTTTCCGGGTGACATTTTTAACACATACCTCAACCACTGAAATCTTCGAAGTCTTAGCGCTTGCGTCAAAGCGTGTCCGTGGTCATGTGAAACTGTAAATAATTTATTGGCTGTTTTTTTCGTTTGGCCATCAGTTCCGATAGAACACTGATGGTCTCCACCCGTAGCTGCCGTATCTCTGAAAGATAACACTGGCTGGATGACTGTAGTACTCACCGGACACTTCGCGGACAATGGAATGTTACGGGGGTGACGCATGTATCTCAAAATGACACGTGTATGTACATCGACACGTCATCCAAGATTCCTCTCACCTGCGAAACCAGACTGCCTTAGTGGCGAAATTTGTTTACCTTTTTTCTATTGCTTACATCGTCCGAGTATATTTGCAAGAGTCTTTTGTGCTTCTTTAGGACTGAATTTCTCAGTTCTCACTAGCAATCACGTGGATCTTACCAACTATATGTGTATGATTTGTCTGTGTTATCCCTTATGCACTGTTTTATTGCTCGCTATGGCATTGAACAGCTGAATGAGGTAAACGCCATGTTCACGAGGACTTAATACTGAGCACTCTCAGTAACCGATGATCCTAATATTTTTCGACTCATTCACATGTTCACACCACGCTCAGAACTTAGATCATTCCTTCTGCCACTCCGCTTGCTTTCAATCCTTCATCTACAGTTCCGTAATCGACGCTTGATCTACTCGGTGCATGGTTTGCATCTTGAATTACCCAATGCCGAATTGCATCAATTAACCACTTGGTGGTCGGCAGCCCAATCCTCCTCGGTGTCCTCGTGCACTTGCTCGCATCCCATCGGTCACCAATCTTCGAACACCGCTCAGATCCATGTTCCGTCGTTTCCCATCCCCGAGGATATATCGCAACCCCAATCCGCAAGCGCCTGTACTGCTCCGAGCACATGTTCTTCAACTCCACTGACGATTGAAGGCCAACTGGATGAATTCACAGTATTTGTCATCTGTCTGAACAGAGGTGAGTTGTATATTTTTTCCATCTGATGTATGCACAAATCACTGTCTTCCTGCAGATTGATGAACTAGTGTGTGATTCCAATGAATTTTTGTGCTCCTGTGTTACTTTGCTTTTCGAGTGACTTTGAAGCGCACTATATCATTTAGAGTAATATTTTTCTCCTTCCATACACGTTCCTGACTACGTAAGAGGGTCAGACATGGGCGTTCTCAGTCAGCTATCCGCTACGTTTTCCGATATAAAACACCGTAGATTCAGTCTGCTTTTCGGTATAACCGACCTCACCCTTCGCATGATTATCTCTGTTTCTCTCTAGTGGACCTCGTAACGAGTGACCATGATTGATATGGTGAACCATAGCTAATCATGCGGTAATTCGTTTCGAGACAATTTATCCGGGATCACTTTGTTCATACATCGTTTTAATATCGGCTACTTACTTTACTGCGGTTTGTTCCTTGGAAAGGATAAACCGACTCCAGGCATGATCATGGTCATGAAGTTCCTTGGGAATTTGGTACGCCGGATATCCCCGGCGTCACTCGGCGTTTTTTATTTTAAGGACGCATCTTTAACCTTTGCACAACCAAATGCGAACTGCAAGGCAGCAGGAAGTACAGGTGTTGATCAAACTCGTGCAACATCACTCTCATTTTGAAAATCCATTTCAGCTTGCAATACCATAGTTATATATAGATGGCTATGAGTAAACTGTATTTATTCCGGACTTTATCTACAACATCTGTGTTCTTTGTCCATTGTTATCACCATTTGAATGTGCGCGACCTTGAGTGTCGCTATAAAATTTGCAGTAGTTCGAAAGTTACAGCTCTGATTTAAAAAATATTTTGGGAAAAGCAGCATGGGAGCTTATCCTTTTTAACAGATGATTCCTGTTCTATAAAAGTTTCTATTAAGTTGAGCACACGTATTTTAAATTTCTGTTCTCTTTTCATTCAGTGCATAGTAAATAAGCAAATTATTGAAAATATTCTTACCTAAATAAATTGCTAAATTGTTGGGCTACTAACTACTCACGCAATATCTCCAATATTGGAAGAACTAAAAACATAGCCCAAGAAACACACAAGTTGATCTTCGAAATTTGACCTTGAGATGTGCGGCTCGTTGAATAAGCGTCCTGTAGTGTCATCATGCCCAAACCGAATGAAACGCTCAAAAGGTTTTGGCGAATAATTAAAGCCGAGAGGCAACTAAAGCGAGAATCGCATAAATCTGTTTGCTCAGTTGATATCTTGTGGAAGCGCTTCGATGTGAACATAAGTCCAATTTGTTGTATATTCAACGAAATTTCTCCATCAAGACATAAATCGAGAGGGAGAAAACCAGCCTTATCAAAATAAGATAATGGTTGTATTTGATCGCAGCAGAGAAGAGTTGCACAGAACCAATCTGGAGGATAGTCCGGGCTGATTAGCCATTTTTCCCCCACGCTTTCGTTTGGAAAATGATGGCTCAATTTGAAATGCAGCTGAGACCACGTGATATAAAGCTGTTATCGAACGCCCAGCAAAGCATAGCGTGTATTGATTTGACCAACAAATTCAAATCGCGTCGCCCGCCCATTTGGCAGTGGGTTTATCTCACTGGTGGCCAACAAGTAATTCAGCATATTGTTGAAGCTGATCTACTGAGCCAGTTTTCTAATGAATTTCTTTTTACCTGTGAAAAGAATTAAATATCTACAGCGCCTAACGAGTTGGAAGGGGTATGATTATTGAGCGCATTGTTGTTGGTCTTCTGCGTACGCCAATTCGGACATAACAAAACTTTCTGCACTGATAAGGGAGGTTTTTGATAACTGTCACTCCAAAAATGCATTCGCTGAAGTGATATTTTTCACATATGAAGGTTGGTATATCAGCTCGCTAGAACTTGGTGATAGAAATCGGTTAGACCAAAATAAATATTATTTTTTCACATTCATGCAGTTTCTAGACGGGTCGGGTTCAATGTCAAATTCGTTCTATTACCGCGCAGCAGCTGGGATTTTAATTTAATCGAAAACATCTTCTTCTATCTGAAACAGGGATAAGTTAGCTACTTTTTCACTGGTCGCCGGTGTTAAGGGTGTGCGGTGTATTAGAGGAAACTTGCAATTCTGTTTGGCAGTCAACTTGGTGGATCCCATGCTAAAGCGACTGCCTGGAGGGCTCAAAAATGAAGAAGGGCAAATGGAATATGAACGAGATGAAAGCACATTACCTGTATAAAGTCCATGAGTCGTTTTAATAATTAAATTAAAGTTACATTCTCTACTGTGACTTTGTTATCTCACAACTGATGCGCCAGCAACCGTCGTTAAAATCGCGAAATTATACATTTTACTGGAATATGGCTAACAGAAGCAGTGACAGAAGTGGGTATTACATCAGATATGTTGCGTCTGAAGTGGGGAAATATCATATTCAATGCCGTGAATGAGGCTGGAAAAACAAAGCATTAGGAGGCACAAATGTGATGAAAATCAGGATGTTGCACGAGTTTGGTCAATACCTGTAATCCCTCGCCTCGGATAGTAGGGTGTAAATGACTTTTAAAAAGCCAGTCATATCGACCTTTGTCACGACACCGTCATTGTGCGTATGCAACTTTTAAACAGGACTCAAGTGACCAGCCTGAAACCCACCACACCCTGGTAGTGCCACCGCTGTTTGTTCACGACTGCTTATTAGTTGCGGTATGCCACAACTTATTCACAGCTAACCTTCTTCGGTGAAGGTAGCCCCTTATCCACAACCCAGGGACGGGCCTGGTATCGTTCAGCTCAGCTTAACCCGGCTAACAGTTGTCAGAATGATATTTTTGTGTTAGTGATCAATAGATTTATCAGTTTTGGTTTATTCTTCAAGTGGAACTGTAATTGACTGATTCATGGCACTGTTTGATCACTGTTTTAGATTCGTCGGTCTGGATATTACTAGGAAAGAAGTGTAAATTTCAAAACCGATTAAAACTGTAATGTGATGTGTTCCAGGCAACAAAAGTTCCATCACAGAAGTAGTATTTTCACGTTTCTGCACGGATCGCCGTTTGTCAAATCCACGCTGGAAATAATCACGTAACCTAGTCAGAGAGAATAATTGTGGTATTATGAGTTACCGGGCGTTTGCGACGACTAATCCACGTTACTCATAAAATGTAGGTCAATAAAAGCCTACTGCTCGGGAGCTGTACACTAACGCGCGCGTCTCCAATTCGCGTCTTGAGGGTTAACCACTTCTCTGGTTAACCGTGAATGGGTGGCCGTGGGTTCACATAATAAACGCGAATGTTCACCGACGATTCCTGAGGTCGTGTTTTCACTAAGGGGAAGCGCGCACTCTTCCACGAAAGCAATAAAGGTCCGTTGTCAGCATCGCTACCTGAATGGATGTGGTCCGTCCAACAGATAGCTATCCAAGCAGTATAGGTGTACCATCGAAGAAAACGATCGTATGGTACTGGTATTATGAGTTATTTTATATCGTGCGCCAAACAATTCAAGGTACAATCGTCTTTGCAAAAAGTTCCGTGATTCGCTCACCAAGGTTACCCAGCCCAAGACAGGCAGTTACTTGGGGGATTCACAATCGGAGCCTTTGGGCAAC